AACGTCGATTTAAAACCCTCATGATGCGCAAGAAGAAACGCCAATCTGAGCGTGAAGCAGAGGTTGCGCAGAGAAATCAACCAACTTGGGCTCCCAAAGAGGAAGCGGAAGCCGAAGTAGACAGCAATTCTAAGCATGCATCACCACACCTGGATCCTTCAGAGAACGAAGGCAGGTCTGCAAATGAATTAGAATCCAAGAGCCAAAGTAACAATCTTCCCAACAAAGCGGCCGAAGCTGGTAAGGGACAGATTGACTTGAACTGCCATCCCGATCGAGAAGACGCACAAGCCGGGTCGAACCGCCTGAGCATGATGAAACTTCTTCAAGTAGCAACCCTTCCTTTGGAGAATTATTTAAAGCAAAATGGTCTTACAAGCTTGATGGCTGAACAACAAACAAGTTCAACATCACAGGCTCCACCCCAAGCTGCTGGGGAGAGCGAGGGACGGGTCAATGAGTTAGCTTCTACCACTCAAGAGCGAGAGAGTGGGGGAGAAGAAGATAATAGTGGATCTGGACCAGATCAAATCCCAAATGATCCTCAATAGGAATTTCCTCATCATTTATTTATTCTATTTTTAGAGCTTTTTTTTTTTGTATAATTAAAAATCATAAGTGTTCTTTTATGTAAGTCGCAATGTGTATCATATTTATACATGAATTTTACATTTACAAGAGGCACAATACTAAGGTTTTCACGATCGGATATATTATTGTAAAGAAGACTTTACTAACAGTGTTGATTTAAAGGTGAAAATCTGGATTCTGGAATATATGAAACTAGAGGTAGGAACTTGCCATTTCGCTAAACTTTGGGTGGGAATCATTGTTTTAAAACCCAGATCGGAGGGAATCCGTTTTGTTGCTCGAGTCAATCAGTTGGACCGATAACGTCAGCGACAATTTTATTTAAAAAAAATTAGATATTAATCCCTTAAATTTTAAAATATTATAAAAATTCCCCTAAAAAAGTTTAATTAGTCCCTAAATTTTTTATTTATTTCAAAAATACCCAAAAAATTACCAATTAATCCCTAAACTTTTGACATATCTCCAAAACACACCTATAAAATTATAAAGTAACCCTTATACTTTTGAAATATTACAAAAAACCCTCCTAAAACCTGAACCGGACCGGAGAAACTGTGGGGTCCCGGTCCGACCGGCCGATCCAGTTCGGTTTTTAAAACAGAGGTGGGAACATGTCGTTTGCTCTTCAAAAAATTCAATTTTACAAGTCTTCAAATACAATTTTTTGTTTTGTTTTAAAAAACAAGGGATACAATAAATCTTATGAAAATGCATTTGGTAAAATTGAGAAGAATCGTTTTCAGAAAAAGTTTTCAAATACAATATCAAAAACTAGTGTAAAATTAGAAAAAGACTAAAAGCTGTTTTCACAGTTTTCTATAATCTTTAATTTGAAAACAATTTTTAAATTTTATATCAAACATATTTTCAATTTTTTTAGATATATTTACTAATTACTTGAGTTATTGGTATATTATTTATTGTGATAATTGTATTTTTATGTTCAGTGAAATGGCAAGTAAATAACATAATTAAAAGTTAAGATATATGGTCATTCTCACACTTTTTATTTATTTATTTATTTTTTTCATTCATCTATTTTCATCTAAGAGTAGTATATATGTATAGTTTTTTACGTAAAAAAAAAAAAAATAAAATAAAATTCCGAAGTTTAAAAGTTTTATGATATATATACACACACACACAGAGTCTTTGTATGTGTAATATTATTGTAAAAGAAGTATTGTTACCATCGTTTGGTCGATTGATCTTACTGTAAGGTTAAAATATTGAGTGAATCTCTTGGTAAAAGACTAAATACATAGTCGACTTTTAATTGGATATATAAAAATAGAACATGAAAACATTAGGGTTACCAACAATGGATCAATCTACATATTCTATCAGACAAAAACTAATGTCTTCCTTATCTAACGATATTCTCATGGCAACTGGTTGTCCACCCTCTTTTGTTTGATTTGGCTTTGGAGCTGAATTCTACGAAGAAAATAACTAATTTAATTTAAAATAAGCACAATATAATGATGAACTTTGAAATGAATGCATGCACTTTTAACTCTATGTCAGTTATAATCATGGTTTTAAAACTCGGCCTAGTCCAACTGGTTCAATCGGTTGAATCGGGAACTAGTGATTGAGTCGAGTTGGTTCGACTAAAAAATAAGAATTTTCAAATAACCCAATTTGAACTACGGTTAGATCGGATTTTTTGTTACGAATCGCCGGTCCAATCGGTTCGATCCAGCGGTTGAACCGCTTTTTTATTATTTTTTTATATGTCATGTTGATGTCAGAATGACGTCATCACGCTGACATCATAGTTCGACCCGATGGTTGAACTGGTTCGACTGGTCAACCTAGTGACCTAAACAGGTTACGGGTCGGGTTTTAAAACCTTATAAAGATGGCAACATGTTCCTTTGAAGAAGAGATTAAAATAAAAGAGAAACAGTGTAAAACCCTAAATATTGTCACTTAGTTTTGAAACTATAAAGCAGAGTACGATAAGAACAAAAGTATGTACCACAAATTCAATATTAACAGCCACAAAATAATCACTCTGTATAGCAACTGTAGCGCTGTTAAATGTGCCGTATTGAGCCACTGTCCCATTAAAACAAGAGTAATACTATAGTTACCGAAAGGAGCACACCGAATGACGTGACGCAATCCTGACCCTCGATTAATATTAACTCATAATTAATCGACGGTCAGGATTGCGTCACGTTATTCTGTCCATGAATTCGGTGAGCTCCTTTCGGTAACTATATTATTTTCCTTAAAACAAATCTTCGCCATGTCATTTGGGTCCCATTAAATTAAAACTCTTTTAAAAATTAAAAAAAATATATAAATATAATATTTTTAATTATTTAAAATTTAAAATTTTCCAAAAGCTATCATTTGTTGTAGAGATATTTAAGAATTTTGGAGATTTTTTGTTATAAAAAGATTATAGAAGCTAACAAGATATTGTTGATGTGCTTAATGTGGGTATATTAGTTTATATTTTATTAATTTTATCGTAGTAGAATTGCAAAAGAATGGTTTGCATTTAATTTTTATTTCTAGTAATTATTTGTAACATATTGTTAAAAACGTTACACTTAGACTCATGATTTCAATAATAATAGCGTATATGTGTTAATATATTTGCGATTTATATATAAAAATGAAATAACAAGACTGCCCTTAAGTAATAAAATGGACAATTCACATTAAATCTTACCAAAATTATCATGCTTTGTTTGTTTCGTTTTTGGGAATACTATTATTAGTATTCTCAAAAAAATTAAACAGCAAAATGTCATTATTCCTAAAATATTATTCTATATTTTTCAATTTTTTTTAAATCTTATAAATTTGTTAATTTAGCTAAACACCCCCAAAATTTTTTTTTTTAGAAATTGCAAAAACACTCCGGTCACCCTCCGACGGTGGTGGCCGGCTGTCCATATTTAATGGGTGGGTTGGGGGTATTTTTGTTAACTTTTAATATTTTATTATAGGGGTAAATAAACAAACATAGGGGATATTTTGTTAATTTCTAAATCCTACATCGTAATACCTGCCCAATTTATCTTTTTAAAAAAATATTATTCTAAAAACTATCAGAATAATGACCTAAATAGATCCATTAGTCTTTGAAGCCCTAATATCCTTATCTCAACCTATCCCCTTGTGGCCTAATGGCGAACCCTTTAACTATATGGATTAGTTATACTCAGGACTTAGAAGGTCTTGTCATGGAATCGCGGGAAAAGCAATCACCGTGTTTACAAAATGTAGTTCTATATAGTTACACTTATACTGAGTGTTTTATTTGTGCCTCTTTATGTCTTTTTCAAATTTAATGATACAATATAAGAATATCGGCAACTCAAGACCTTTATTTGTAATTATATAAATAATCACGACACATAATCAATTATATCATACTCCACAAAAAAAGTTAAACGTACAAAGAAATCTCACAAAAATTTCTATACAAAATGATGTAGCAGGAAATGAACAGAAGAACGAATACGATGAGTTTGACTTTTTGTATTCACTCTTCTATTCATTTTCCCACCATATCACTTTGTACAGAAAACTTTGCAAGATTTATTTATACATCTAGCATTACTGTATATCTAATATGATATCACAATTCTAAATTTTTACTATAAACAAAAAATCTAATATGACTCAATTAGGAAGTCTTTGTAAAATATGACTCCAATATTACTTGTTTCCTCTAGAAATTGATGTCTTCTTGGACCTCATCTCTAACTTTTCGTAGTGCATTAAGAAGCTGTAGTATAGTGTTCTCGTATTGCAAGAGAAAAGTATGCAATGTGATTGTTGCTTTGGGTGCATCTTTGCACGAGACAAGCTCTAGTACAGAACTATCCTCTTCATGTTCTCAATAATTTGCTCCTCCCTCAACAAAGACCTCGTTTTCTCCTAGATAACGAGGTCGTAGTGCATTAAGAAGTTGTAGTGTAGTGTTCTCGTATTGCAAGAGAAAAGTATGCAATGTGATTGTTGCTTTGAGTCCATCTTTACGAGAGAAAAGCTCCAGTACAGAAATATCATATTAAACTTCATCTTCTTTGTCATTTCTTATCACGTTCTCAATAATTTGCTCCTCACTCAACAACTACCTCGTTTTCTTCTCGATAAATTAATAATTTATTAATTTATACGATTAACTAATATAATGATTAATTAATAAATTTTCATGGTCCCAAAGATATTAATTTATCGAGGTTTAACTGTATTTAGTTGAATTTCAATTGGATATGTAATAGATTTTATTCATTCGAAGGCAGAATTGTGATACAATTTATCGAAAGAATTTGTACAAAGCAAAGATATAAGAACAAGGAAAATATTAAAGTCACCAACATTAATGAATCAAACTAGGTATTCCATTTGTTCTAGTAGAATTTTTCATGAATAAGTCACATCTTAAGAGGTGGAAGGATCCATTTATTTCCATCAAGGAAACTTATGCTCAAAAATGGTTTCGCTTCTCCATCAGATAATATCTTCACGAATTTGGCTCGATCAGAAGAACTTGACCCTGGTCCATAGCACTTGTACTCTCCATAATAAACAGGTCTACAACACATTCAAATCAACAAAACACAGAGTTTGTCACCAAGTTTTTAAGAATTAATATTATTGTTTAACTATGGAATAAGATGACAGAGGTAAATACTTGTGTTCATTGTCTGTCATGCCATCAGACCATCCTTTGCCAAGGATGAGACTGTCCATGTATGTGTAAGCATAAATCACCCTAGAACTCTGCTTCCATGCACGGCCAAGTTCAGCCTTACCTGTACCGGTTATGCTACACTGGACAAATACGAATCCACTTTCTTCAGTCTCGTTTTCTCTGGCGTGTGCTGTAATAAATCCGACGCCATTTGAAATTGATCTTATAGCAGTGTTCTGCATCAATATCCCAATTCTAAGGTCTCATTCACAGCAAAAATGTATATGCTACCTATGAACATAATTCAGAATGTATTAATAATAATAATAATAATAAGAGATGTGGAAATACCAAGTATTGGGATTGGCCATTTCCAAAAATGAAATCCATGGTCCCTTCGATATAACAGTTTCTGAAGATATGTTTGCCTCTATCATCACATAATGTGTCTTGATAACCTATAAACTTGCAATTATCGAACGTTGCTTTATCTCCTGATATTCTCATGGCGACTGCTTGTGCACCAACCCTTTTTCCATCTGGCATTGGAGCTGAATTCTACAGGAAAAATCAAGAAAGAAGAAGAAATAACTATATTAAAGGTAACCACAATATAGACTGTTGATGAACTCTCCAATGCAACACAAATATATACATCGCGTGCTGCGAAAGCGGCTTGGGCGAGCCAACTGCAGTGGAGCTCGGCATCGCCTACTATCTCAAAAAGAGCAGGGACAAGGACTCTTATTATTTGTCTCGGCGACCTACCATTGCTGCGGGAATACACAACTATCCCAGCAACGCGGGGGCCTACGAGAAAAAGTTCTTCTTCTTTTGCTACGACGGCTACTGCCGCTTTCAGGATCCAAGTAGGTTTTTCTTCGCGGGGTCCATTATCTGCTTGCGCGATCTATAGTAACGACCTACTTTCTTTTGCAGTTAACAGAACGACCAGCCAAAACTTACTCGCCGACCCAAACAGGCTCGTATCCTTTGGAGTACTGGACGAGGAGAGCCGGGACGCGAGGAGGCTTGTGACGACCGCGAACTTGCGGAAGTACGGGTTTTTCAGCGACAAGGCGTCTTTAGAACCCTCAGAAGGTAAGTTATACTGGTTCCCTTCTGGTCATAGAACGATTTCGTTTACTAACGAACTTAAATACAGAAACGATGCCCCCAAAGGAGTCCGGACAGCCCCGTCGAGCACCATTCGTCTTTCCTCGATCGAGGAGTGAGAGGGCGGCCGAAGCTGCTCGTCCTATCCCGGCACAACCGGTGCGAACAGTCCCGGCTTCCCAGCCCCGTCCTGTGCAAGGAGCAACCAGGACGGAACAGGCCGCTCAGGGGCCAACTGTTCGCCCCAAGCGGAAGGCTCCGGCCCAGAGGTCGAAGAAGAGGAAGCAGATTCAGCCCGAAGAGTCGGAGACTGAATCTGAGGGAGAGCCTCTGAGGTCGCGCCAGGGATCCCGGAGGTCGGGCAAGGAGCTCGCGAGCGAGGCGGTTTCCGGTGACAAGGCGAAGGACGCGCCTGTTCTAGACTCATTGGGGAGTCTGCCCGAGTACCTGCAGCCGATTGTCTATGGCCTGCTCGAGTGCGAGCTATCGGAGTCCTNTAAGAGATTGCTCATGGATAGACAAGATGCTTTGGAGCTCAAACTTACTTGGGAAGAGGCACAGGATATGCTTCGCTCACCACCCAGTGTCATGCCCAGCATTATCACAATCGAAGACCATGTTTTTGAAGAATATGAAGTAAGCCATTTTGCTGATGTTGATGATCATTATGATGTTCTTGACTCTCTCCCTCATTCACTTAATGCATTTACTTTTCCCCTTGTAGAATAGCTTTTGACTTTTGATTACCAATTAGTCAATCTTTTATGAAAGTATATTCACAAGTTAGTCTTTTGATGTATTTTTCTTTTAAGGCATACCCAGAGAAAAAAACAAGGCCCTTTTCTGGTACAATATTGAGCCTCTAGTTGTCATTGCACGGTCTGGCTTCTTGAGAGTAAATGATCCATGCAAATTGTTGAAATTTTGGAACTGAGCTCACCTCTCAGAGAAATTTCGTGGACATTACTAGTAGGTTGGGTAATACTTGCCAAACATGCAAAAATTGGCATTGAAGGATTGGCGGATAGATTAACATTTTTCCCTCTTTAGGCAACATGAGCAAATTAGTATAGCTTTGCAGAAATATGTATATGCTACTCATAAGAACTAAATATTTTCTCATATTAGACACTTGTTAGTTGGTTTGATTTTATTTTATCATGTAATTACTGAAGAATATGAGCATGCATGTCTTTATGTACTTCAAAAGATCAGTCAGTGATGCCTAATTGATCCTAGTATATAGCAAATATATATGCGATGCTTTTCTGGGTTTTTTTTACCAGAAATTATGGTAACCAAAATGTTTATTATACCAATTAATGATGAAAATGAATTACTACAATGAACTTTGATATTCTATAAATAACGGTTCCCAACATATTTATTATATTACTGTGCACCTTGTTCTTGATTACTTTTTCATACAAAGCTTGTCAGTTTTGCATGGTCCTTTGGTTGAATAGGACTTTTGAGATGGAATGTCAAGTACTTTTCTCTATTCACCAAAATATATATTCTACTGTCATTTATGTGACTGTATCATTTCTAAAATTTTTCCTTTATCTTCATCCCTTTCAGAAACTTCGAAGTATGAGTTTAGTCTTGTTGTTCAAGGATGACCTGTGATTGATTTTTTTTTTCAGAACCTTGAATACTGACTTTCTTTTCTTGTACATTTTGTTCGTGCAGGATCCTCCAGTTTTCGGGAAGAGGAGCATTTTTGTAGTTCGTACAAATGGGTGAGGATTTTTGTAATTGATTAGTTTGTTTTCATGTAGTGCTCTGCAGATTTAACCCAATAAGAAATTAATAAATATGCAAATATCCGAAAGCTATCTGGATGTATAGGTACTGGAATTTCTTTAGCACACTAGAAACCTATATTATCTTGATATTTCTGAAATTTATGTCACTTTGTAGAAATTATTGAGGTAATTTAGAGCTAAGAAAGTTTCAGGAAATGTTGCTTGCGAATTCTCTTGAAAATTGGTGTACTAAATTGTCACATTTTTGCCTATCATGGTTCCCGTTACTCTGGAGACATAGGAAGGCCAACTTATCTCATATCCTGATGCAATCGTGTATTTCTGTAAATTATTTTGAAAGGATCTATATTTTTTCCTCAGGGTCCTGGTTGGATAAATTCATCTAATCTTGAATTACTAAGTTTGATGTTCAGGGGACAAGAGCGATGGACTCAGTGTGATGGTTGTTCTAAATGGCGAAGGTTGCCAGTTGATGTTCTTCTTCCACCTAAATGGACCTGTATAGATAACAAATGGGATCCGACTAGGTGAACAATACTTTTTATTATTATTAATTTTTTCTTGTGTAATAAAAATGAGCGTTGAGCAAATCTTTCCATGCTAATGCTTTTTTATCCTCAGGTGTTCATGTTCGGCACCAGATGAACTGACTCCCGGGGAACTGGAAAACCTCCTCAGACTAAACAAGGGTATGATGCCAGCATCTCTGCTTTTAAGATTGTTATATGATTATTGCAAGGTTTTCATACCTAGACTGCTCTTGAAGTAAATGAAGCTTCTCTTTACTATAAATCTATAGTAAGCTCTAGGGACGAGAATTTTCTTTTTTTGAAAATTAACAATAGTTCTATAGGCTCGTGCCTGCACAATAGGAATTCAATTCTGAATTTCTGTTTGATAACCCTGTATATCAGAGTTCCATTCCCTATGGAAGGCTGTTTTGACCAAATTTTTTCACTTTTCTGTCTCTTCTTTGGAACATGTACAAGAAGAGAGAACCATATAGGTTGTGGGTGGCCAACGAGGCTGACTTGTATTTTATGCATGTGGATTGAGTTTTTCCTTTTCAACTTCAACTCTGCTCAATCATTAGGAAGGAAGCTTTTGAGATCATGAGTTTGGGATAAGTGCCACAGTTTTACGGCCTTTTTAGTGCTTTGTATGCATATATTGTCTTCTGAATTATAAGTTTGTGCTCCTATATGTTCTTATACATGATAAGTGGCTGGTCGGAAGTTCTCATAGTTTGTTGCAAGAGTTCTTCTCAGATGTATACTTGTCTGTTAATTCTGGAATACTGATACAATTGCACTTAGCTGTTGCATAGATTTCAAAAAACGGCGACTGGCAACAAGTCAGAGGCCAAACCAAGAGAGTGAACCTTCTGGTCTGGATGCATTGTCCAACGTGGCAATACTTGGAGACAACATGGGTGACCCAGGCACTGCATCAGTCGCAACGACAACTAAACACCCAAGGCATCGTCCTGGCTGTTCATGTATTGTATGCATTCAGCCCCCTAGTGGGAAGGGCAAGCACAAGCCTACATGCACATGTAATGTGTGTATGACAGTTAAACGTCGATTTAAAACCCTCATGATGCGCAAGAAGAAACGCCAATCTGAGCGTGAAGCAGAGGTTGCGCAGAGAAATCAACCAACTTGGGCTCCCAAAGAGGAAGCCGAAGCCGAAGCCGAAGTAGACAGCAATTCTAAGCATGCATCACCACACCTGGATCCTTCAGAGAACGAAGCCAGGTCTGCAAATGAATTAGAATCCAAGAGCCAAAGTAACAATCTTCCCAACAAAGCGGCCGAAGCTGGTAAGGGACAGATTGACTTGAACTGCCATCCCGATCGAGAAGACGCACAAGCCGGGTCGAACCGCCTGAGCATGATGAAACTTCTTCAAGTGGCAACCCTTCCTTTGGAGAATTATTTAAAGCAAAATGGTCTTACAAGCTTGATGGCTGAACAACAAACAAGTTCAACATCACAGGCTCCACCCCAAACTGCTGGGGAGAGCGAGGGACGGGTCAATGAGTTAGCTTCTGCCACTCAAGAGCGAGAGAGTGGGGGAGAAGAAGATAATAGTGGATCTGGACCAGATCAAATCCCAAATGATCCTCAATAGAAATTTCCTCATCATTTATTTATTCTATTTTTAGAGCTTTTTTTTTTTGTATAATTAAAAATTATAAGTGTTCTTTTATGTAAGTCGCAATGTGTATCATATTTATACATGAATTTTACATTTACAAGAGGCACAATACTAAGGTTTTCACGATCGGATTTATTATTGTAAAGAAGACTCCACTAACAGTGTTAATTTAAAAGTGAAAATCTGGATTCTAGAATATATGAAATCAGAGGTAGGAATTTGCCATTTCGTTAAACCTTGGGTGGAAACACGTCGTTTTCTCTTAAAAAAATTCAATTTTGCAAGTCTTTAAATACAATTTTTTGTTTTGTTTTAAAAAAATACAACAAATCTTACGAAAATGCATTTGGTAAAAAGGAGAAGAATCGTTTTCAGAAAAAGTTTTCAAATACAATCCTAAAAACTAGTGTAAAATTAGAAAAATAATTAAAAGTCCTTTTCATAGTTTTCTACTACCTTTAATCTGAAAACAATTTTTAAATTTTATGTCAAACATATTTTAAATTTTTTTAGATATATTTACTAATTACTTGAGTTATTGGTATATTATTTATATGTTCCGTGAAATGGCAAGAAAATAACATAATTAAAAGTTAAGATATGCTTATTCTCACACTTTTTTTTTTTCATTAAGAGTAATATATATGTATAGTTTTTTATGTAAAAAAAAAAAAAAAAATCCAAAGTTTGAAAGTTTTATGATATATATACGTAAGGTCTTTGTATGTGTAATATTATTGTAAAAGAAGTATTGTTACCTTCGCTTGGTGGATTAATCTTTCTCTAAGGTTAAAATAGTGAGTGAATCTCTTTGCAAAAGACTAAATATATAGTTGACTTTTAATTGGATATATATTAGAACTTATAATTTGTACACAGATACAATTGATTGAAATTTGAAAGAATTTGTACGAAGATATAAAAATAGAACATGAAAACATTATGGTTACCAACAATGGATCAATCTTCATATTCTATCAGATAAAAACTAATGTCTTCCTTATCTAACGATATTCTCATGGCAACTGCTTTTCCACCCTCTTTTGTTTGATTTGGCTTTGGAGCTGAATTCTACAAGAAAAGATAAAAAAAGAACTAATTTATATTGCGTATGGTTCTAATGATGAACTTTGAAATGAAATAGGGTTTAGGGAAGTGTTTTTGCTCTCAATTCTCTCCCACATCACACATTTTTTTCCTTGCCACCAAGTGTTCGACAAAATGCCCGAACCAAATTCCTCACTCCCAAATAACACCATACTGCCTCGAACCCAAACCAAAACTTTAAACACTACTTCCACCACTTCCCAGCAGCCGTGAACTACCAAAAATTTGGGGAAATCCTAATGGATTGGAGATTTGGAACCATGGATGGATGACAAGTATTTGTTATCCGCTTTCTCAAATGTGGTGATTCAAGGAACCAAGGTTTTTCATCATAAAAACTCTTCCTTTGGTTTTCTTGAGTTTGAATCTAACGATATTGCAAGTTCCTCATTGCAATCTTTTGATGGCTTAAAAATGCCGAAATCTAAGAAGCTTTTCAAGCTCAATTGGGCGTCTCCTGAGCCCCGTGAAAAAAAGTTAGTTTCTAAGCCAATTTAGAAAAGAAAAGTGTGGGAAAGAGCACATCATCAGTGTCCTCCTCTTGGGCGGATAAAGTTAGAGTGACAAAGGTTGGGTCTCATTTCACCCTTGAAGCTATGGACCTTGATATTAAGGATGACATTTTGTATATTCCGGATGATGTTATTGATGATAGCGATGTTGAGTGGCTTCGTTGTATTGTGGGTTATTTCCTGGGGTATTCTATGCCATTTCATGCTGCCCGCTCGATTGCTTTCCATGCATGGGAAGCAGCGGATTTGGAGGATGTTATCTCTACTGGTACTGGTTTCTTCATCTTCAGATTTAGGGACGAGGATGTGAAAAGCCTACAGGAGAGGGGACTTTTATCGAGCAGTTGGAGTGCACGATAAAAGCTTCCTCAAAAGTCAGCCAAAGATGACCAAATTAAAACCACTCTCTCTAGGAATTTGTAGCAACAAACCACAAAAAACTAGTGAAAAAAACACCAAAATCAGGTCCACGAAATGGGCAAAAAAAAAAAAAAAAAAAACAGAGTGTCTTGCCTGAAACTAGAGGTCAACAAGGTGCGAATAGCTGTGGGGATTGAAGAGCAGGCCCAAAGGAGTTAGTTGTCGCCATCAATTGCCATTCCCGATCGGGAAGTGCACCGAAAAGGCAAATCCAGTTCTGCAGTTTTTGTGATTTTTCACGGTGAAATCTTGACAAACGAAGCAGTAACTGGAGATGGTGATGCAACGAGATGATAGAGCATCTCACGATCTTTCTAACGGTGGGTGGATCGATGATTTTTGAAACTAGACGCTCCCGAAGGAAGCCGATGAAGTTCCAGTAGTGGGAGAGAATTGAGAGCAAAAACACTTCCCTAAACCTTAAACCCTATTTCATTTGAAAGTTCATCATTATATAATCATGGATTACTTTTGTGTATGGTTCTAATGACTTTGGGAATCGCTGCAAACTGTGGGATTTCCTTAGGGATCGGGCGACAAAGTTTGATTCGGAGGGGTTACCGTGGCTTGTGTTGGGTGATTTTAATGCCATTATGGGAGCCTATGATAGAGTGGGTGGTGATCCTGCATGGTATGGTGTTATGGATGATTTTGTCCACTGTATTCATTATGCTGAGTTGATTGGGGTTCCTTTTACTGGGCTTCAGTATACTTGGCATAACAGTCAGCAGGGTGATGAGATTATTCTACGAAAGCTCGATTGGGTCTTTGCATCGCTTTCTTGGTTCATTGATCGGCCGACCACAGTTTTAGAGTTTTGACCTCGGGATGTCTTAGGTCATAGCTTTATAGTTGTCCGGTTTGGTTCTCACTGTGGTAAGGTACCATCCCCTTTTAAATTTCTAAATTTTTGGGCTGATTGTGCATATTTTATGGATATTGTTCAGACAGTTTGGGATGAGCCTATTGTAGGCAATCCTATGTTCCCTCTTACGCAGTAATTGGGGTTATTGAAATGGAAGCTCAAATCTTTACATGTTAGGGATTCCAGCCATATCTCCAGTAGGGTGATTGAGGCTCGTGCTCAGCGGGCGACAACCTAAGTAAATTTGAACCGAGCCCCCCTTTATACTGAGTGCATCTCTCAGGAGAGGAACCTTGCCAACCGGTATTTCAGTCTTTGTCGAGATGAAGAGGTTTTTTTAAGTAACAATCTCGTGTATAGTGGCTGAACTTAGGGGATTAGAGTACTAAGTTCTTTCATAAGTCTTTGATCCACAGGGAAGTTGGGAATCACATCCACAGTCTGATTGATGGGAATGGTACTCATGTTACTGACAGTCAGGGTTTAGGGTGCCTGGTAGTAGGTTTTTTTAAGGATCTTCTTGCTGCCCCTACTCAACCTCGGATCGCGGAGGCTTCCAAGTATTTTTTTGGGCGTATTTCTTCTGATATGATTTCTCTCCTGACTGCTCCTATCATTGATGATGAGATTAAGATTGCTTTATTCTCTATCCTGGATGATAAAGCCATTGGTCCGGATGGATACACTTCTTTGTTTTTTAAGGGGCATGGGATATTATTAGTACAGATTTCAAAGACGCGATGAGATATTTCTTTGTTACTAATGAAATGCTAAGATGTGTTAATGCTACCAAGATTGCTTTGGTCCCTAAGGTGGAGAACCTGAGTCGTATGACTGACTCTAGACCGATATCTTGTTGTAATGTACTATATAAGTGCATTAGTAAGGTGATAGTGAATTAGTTTAAAGTAGTGCTTCCGGATATTATTGGGAGTTCTCAGTCAACTTTTGTCTTAGGTCGAAAGATTTCTAATAATATTCTGCTGACTTAGGAGCTTTTGAGGAATTATCTTGGGAGTACTTCACCTTGATGTGCCCTTAAAGTTGATATTTGGAAAACTTTTGATACTATGAGTTGGCATTTCATCCTTTTGGGGCTGTGTACTGTTGGGATTCCCGAGTGTATGGTGAGGTGGATCATGACATGTATCTCTACACCGTATTTCTCTATTGCCCTGAACAGAGAGCTTCATGGTTTTTTTAGGTCCTCCCAAGGTGTTCAGCTGGGGACCCTCTTTCTCCTTACTTATTTGTGTTGGCTATGGAGATGTTTGCTGGTATCCTTCAGGAAACCTCTCAAAGCCTTGGGTTTCATTATCATTAGAGGTATAGGCAGGTAGCTATTACTCATTTGTGTTTTGCAGATGATCTGATGGTGTTTTGTTGAGCAGATGCTTCCTCTGTTAGCCTAATAAAATCGACCTTGGATTCTTTTGCCAAGGTTTTTGGGTTGGTGACTAACGCAGAGAAGAGCCAATTGTTTCTTTCTAGAGTTACAGATGAGGAGCAAGTTGGTTTGCAGTCTATTTTGGGTTTCCAGTTGAGGGTGTTACCGGTCAGATATTTAGGGGTTCCTCTAATCTCTACCTGGTTTTGGCACTCTGATTATAGGCCTCTGTTAGAGTGAATTTTGTCTTGGATTAGGCTATGGACGTCGGCATCTTTGACTTATGCAGGCCAACTTTGGCTGATCAAGTCAGTGCTTTTCTCCATACAGGTCTATTGGTCATTCATGTTTCTTTTGCTGATAGCTACAGTTAGATAGATTGAGAGTATTTTGGCCTCGTTTTTCTGGAAGGGTACTTCTCTATCCCCTTCGGTTGCCAAGGTTACATGGGTTTCTGTTTGCTATCCATTGAGAGAGGGTGGTCTGGGGATTAAGGGGATCCAAGATTGGAATAGAGCAGCTATTCTTAAGCACATCTGGCAACTACTTAATGATAGGTCTTCTGTATGGTCCTCTTAGGCTCGTTTGGTTCTCCTTCATGGTAAGTCTTTTTGGCATATTCGAGTTACATCTGAGGCTTATGGGCTTAGAGGAAGATCTTACTAGCACGGATTAGCGCCGAGGTCTTATTTTGACTTGTATTGGTGATGGTAGGGACACCTTG